CCCCATGATCAGAGGAACCGTCCCAACAGGAGTGGGCAGGCTGGGGATCTCATGATCAGACCAGGTGCAGAGGAAACAGTGTGACATCAGGCGGGGCACGTGGGAATGTCTGGGAGCACAGTGGACAGCTCCCATTCTGTATCCTTTATACAAAGACATCCAGGCACACGGTGGACCATCTTGCCGGTTATTTCCTTCTGGATATCAGGGCACATCGCCCTCTGGTCTTTTTCACAAATACTACACACACACACACACACACACACACACTCATATATATATAACCTGAGTCTCAATATAAATTTTTTTATGTCTGTGGGTCACAAAGAAGGGAAAAACATCGCTCCAAACCATTCTCACTGGAAGCAGGTGGAGAAGTAACACCAGCACCGATTTTAGATTCGAGACCTGGCCCCGACCCTGACCAATCCATAGGATCCCAGGCAGGGGACCTCTCTTCCCTGACGCTCACTGAGAAAGGGAGTAAAAATCCAGCACCCTCAACCCCAGGCAACGCACAGTGAGAATGAGTCACCATAGCAATAGAAGTGAGCTCTCAACAGCTCAGCCTTGTACAAATGCGTGATATTGAGACGGTGAATATTAGGTCCTAGCCAAGAACCCATCTTCAGCCATGGTCCAGAAACCCAAGTTTTGCTCTTCGATTGCATCTACATAGCCAGCTGTTCAATTCCCATATGCTCCCCCCTTCTTTTCCAAAGCTTCCACCGCCAATTGGAGTACGAGATAAAAAACACCATCTGGGCCCTGAGTCCTCCGGTTCCCTGCCCAGGACGTCTTGGGGCCAGGAGATGAATTCCAGCTCCTTCTGGCACTCTCATTTCCCTTGGCTGACTGTGTTGGCGAGGGCTTGTGTGTGAACAGGCTCTCAGCCATGTGGCGCGTGGCTCTCCACCGCCCATCAGGAGGTCTCGTGGCTCCTGGGTCCTGCCCCCGCTGTCCTGTTGGCAGCTTCACTGTTGATGCCCCTTCACAGCATTGGTCACCGCAGTCCTGCCTCCCGGTGGAGTGAAATGTGCCTCCCACCCTAGAAACCGCATTGACAGAGGGCCCCACCGATAGTAGAGAAGCAATGCCTTTGGCCTTGACTGGGGGCTGCTAGAGGTTTTCATAGGCTTCCCTCTGACCCTCACTGGCCCCAGATGCATGAGT